TATATTTGATAACTAAGCTCTTTTTGTTCTTAAGGGATAGCCGCAAGCTCTTAGCAACATTACCTAACTCATGATTGTTGTTCAAAACTGAACTATATGTTTTTTGAAGTTTTGTCTTTTAGTAGTCATTTCAATGCATTAATTATGACTCTAAGCTCTCAAGCCCTCGGGGCAAGTTATGTGATGTGGGTTATTTCCCCACTGCATAGTGCTCATTGAGACCTCTCTGAGTACAGGAAACAAGTTTTCTGTCATTTTTCAGTTCAAAGTGTCTGAAATCATGTGAGACTCTGTCAGACCCCAGTGGGGTGAGGTTCCTATAGCATGACACCAAATGCATGTGGCTTGTCTTATGATTCATCATGAAAATATCGGAGGGTGGAAGGTCTTTAGGGATTTAAGAAGACTGTATAGGGAGAATAAACTTCTTTTATCTGGACTGCTTGTAGCAAGAGCTTCTAAGTTGCATAGGTTTTTCTTTCTGAAGATGAACTTTCCTTACTCCAGGTAAGGGAAGGGAGTCCAATAGAGAGCTAATTTACTTGCAGGGCAGATGGCAGAAGAAGAACACAGGACAGAATCCTAAGTTTCTTGTCCTCACATACACTCATATAACACTTGTTTGTGAGTGAAGAAGTCTAAAATGTGTTAAGGAGCTCACTGGGTTTATCTGCTCACTCTGATGAGCATTTTGATGAGATGATCTTGTGCCTTTACTTTCTATGCTAGTATTACTGAAGACAACTTGTTGAGACCTAAAAAGTTGTATGACTAATGATCTATCATTTGGATTATTTCCTTCAACTATGTGCAGTGGGATACATTTCCTACCATTTCATTAACCACACTGATATTTTAATCTATGTGGTCTTCATGGAAAGTTTGTAAATAATGATGCCATCTAAACACTCAAAATACAGAAATTAATCCCAAACGTGGACATTTTTCACATCCATGTGTTATGTTTCCATAACATTGCAGATCCTCATATACGGCATATATTAGGATTTAAGTGAGTGCTAATTTTTCTGTTTTAAATAATCTCTTTACCTTTTTTTTTTTCTTAAAAATTCTATTATTTTTAATTTTTTAATAAGAATTTTTATTTCAGCCATCTTTCCAAAGCTTGAAATTACCATCTACACTGGTCAGTTATGTTAGCGATGTATTTATTGCAGGCACTGGAGTTGATCTCCAGTGTTGTTCTGATTTTTTAAGATTTTCTAAACTTTTTGATGTTTATATTCTTGTAACTAAATTTCTCACACACTTTTTGCAAAACTTATTGTTTTGTGTTCTTTTATGGAAGAAGAGAAATTTGATAGACTGTTGGTTTGTCCAGTGTCATTGGAGAGGTGACACTTTCACCTTCCAATCCACTGTCACTTTTAGAAATCTATAAATGTTAGAGTCAAAAAATAAACTACCCTTTTTACCTCGAGAACAACAATGTGTTTGTGTTGTGTTTTCTCAGATCTGATAGTGAAACTCCAGAAACTTTTATTTTTAGTGGTAGCATATTTCATATTTCAGGCTCCACAACCATTTTTTACTTGGAGGGCATTTTGAAACTTTCTATGGAACTAAAAATTTTGATAAGGTGTTTTTTTTTTTTGTTTTTTTTTTTTTTTTTTTTTTTTTAATACTTATCCAGAATCTACTGGTTTAAGTCACCAGCTCATTTTGCATAGCCTTAAAAAATATGCCATTGGTCATTATTACGATTTAGTAATGACACACATGAAATTTCTCTGAACGCATATTAGGAGATTGTTTTTCAGCATTGCTTTATGAATTATTGTTACCTTTCCAGATACAGGTATTGGCCTTTGTACTACTGTATTTTAAGCAAAATATTTTATCCAATTTTTTTTTTTTTTGCCCCCATTTTATGACGATTGAAAGATGCGGCAAATTAAACTGATCTCTTTGGAAAATTTGGACTCAATCTAGGCATACAAATGTTAGTCCTATATGCCTCTGGTGCAGTTTTCTTGTCAGGATGTGTACATCTGTATGATGTATTTTCGTTGGTTTTGTTGAGTTTTGTATTAAAAGTCTAACACTGGTAGAACAGTCCTTAACTCTCTTAGTACTGTCATAATTTAGAAAGGTATGCAGTGATAGGACATTGGATACAAGGTTCTAAAATAAAAGACAGTTGATTCAGAATAGGTGCAGGAAAGAAATTTCTTAAAATGTAAAATACTGCAACAGATTCCCCAGAGAGCTGGTAGATGACCCACCCCTGGAAAAATTCAAGGTCAGGTTGGACAGGGCTCTAAAAAACCTGATCTAGTTGAAGATGTCCCTGTCATTGCAGGAGGTAAGAACTAAATGACCTTTAAAGATGCCTTCCAACCCAAACCATTCTATGCAGGAAAATGGGCAGAAATGTTACAAGGGAAATTTCCTCTGGTGTCTGCTAGTGCATTTGCATCTATGAGAGGAGCAAAGAAAATATTCTAGAGGATTTCAATTTAACAGCCATAGACCTTAGTCAATTTTTAAGTGAATTTTCTGGTACGGCTAGTAATTGAAAATCTGAGTGGTGTGGGAGGAAGACTGCATGGAAATGGAGATGCAAATAATCCTCTCTTTGGTTTATCTTCTCCAAAACAACAGAATGGAAAGGTGTTTGCAACTCTGCAGTGTTAATAGACTGATTAAAAATAAGGTTAATAGGACATATTCTTTAATCCTCCCTCTTTAGATATTTCACTGGGCAACAAGAACTGAAAGATTCCCAAGACTTAAGAGAGAGAAAGAGGATAGACCCTCACTCTGTAGTTCAATGCAACTATTATTAGAAGTGAGAAATGGTTCCAGATAATCTGGTTCCTACTACAAATATACTTTTTCTGGACTAATTCAGTGGAAAATAGTCAAGAAGTCTTTGTATAATGACTGGAGTCTAGGGCTCCTCCACATCACGGAAGAGTCATAATCACTTGTAGATTCCTGTTTGCATCTATGTTACCTACCCTCCAACTTCTTCATGCCTAGTTGAGATTCTGCTTGAATGAGGAAGACGGACTCACTGTCGTATAGCCTAAATTCTAGTAGTTAGAGCATTCTTCTGGTAAACAAGGAATCAGATGAAAATCTGCTTCCAATTTAGTTTTTTTTTTTTGTTGTTGGTTTTTTTTTTTTTTGTTTTGTTGTTGTTGTTGCTTTTGCTTTGTTGTTGTTCTTTTGGTTTTTTTAGTTTTTTTTAAAATGCAGAGTGGTTGGCAAGTTATTATGGGCTTGAACACGAAGAATTTCACAAGCCAACCTATTTTACTGGGAAAAGTCTCTAGCTTTAATTTATCCCTGCTCTGGAAAGCCCATATATTTTGCACTCCAGTTTGCTGGTGAGTTCTTTAACTGGTTTGTAATACTGTATAGTAACTTTGTATACGCCCACACTCCTTCTGCAACTCTGCTTCTGAATGAAATTAGCTGAGTCAATTGGTGCTATGGTTTGTGCTGAACTTAGCACTAAAGAAAAACAGAGAAATTGTAACACATATGCAGAATAGACTCATTCACAGATTTCAAATGTTATAAGTGACAGGTCAGTGCTGAGAAGCTATTTCTCAAGATAGTACAAGTCATTATGTAAGTCTCGTATTGAAAATGTCAGCGCCTATGAGTGATCGGGCAAGCATGCAGTGAGATAAGTGCAATATGAAATAGTAATGATGGTGCAGATTTGTGTAGCATTTGCTACAGTTAATATTACATAATAAATTCATCTAGCTTAGAGAAAGCACTAGATAACTGGAATAGATAGGATTTTTTTTTTTCATATTCAGATTAATCACACAATGTTGTAGCTTTTAGAGTTTAGCTTATATTCTCTTTAAATGTCTCTGGTAAAAATTCCCAGACTAATTGGAGGTGTGGTATAGGGCTGCTTTTTACATAAAGCATGAACATAACATAGTTATAGCAGCTTACCTGGTCCCTTAAAAGTCATACTAAATATTTATCTTTACGGAATAATTATATATTTTGTTTTGTATCATCTTTGTGAAAAATGCTAACTTTCATTCTCATTATTTCTAATTCTCAGAGTATGCTTTCTGTCATGGCTGTACTTAAATGACAAAAAAAAAAGTCACCCGTATAGAGTAGTAGAACATAAGTTATGCTAGAGCCCCTTTAAATTTTGTAATCTGTTGTACTTTTGTGCTCTGTCTTCAAATAGTTAGTAATATCAGTAATACACAAATATTGAGTAATTTAAAAATGTGTGTGGCGGTGTAGGCTCCCTTTTTATTACTGAATTGAAATAAATGCCATTTCACTGTCAATACACTGTGACATTCAAGTACTTTAATATTTTATTCTTTCTTCAGAGTGGCATCAACTCGACTAGGGCTAATTTCGGGTATTGTAGAATAGGGTTGTGACAAGCATCAGAAATGATCTTAAGGAAATAGGATCTATACAAATGTGACGTGCAATAGCTTATCATGTTACTCCCAAGTTCACCCACACCCTAATCAAATACAAAGTCTTATCACACGTTTTAATGTCATTGAAGTTGCAGCTGGCTTCCATACTGCAGGATTTCCTGTCCAAAAGGGCAATGGGTCGTTAGAAGTTTAAGAAGCCTTAGTACAGTGTAAACCATTTAGAAGAATGGCAAGCAAACAATGTATGCCCTGGGTATCCTGAAGTATAAAAGTCTAGGAGTCTTTTACATCTCAGTACAGATCAACATGGTGAACTCTGCTTCCTGCACGTCTCTTTTCCTGCAGATTTTTGCACTTCCATGCAAAATTTTCAGTGTTTTCTGTCATCCTGGAGGCACGGACCGTCCTAAGGAAGGCTCTTCCGCTAGTGCCCCGTCCTTCCCCTCCATCCCGGGCGGGTGGGAGAGGCAGGGCAGGTTGCGCGGTGCCGGGAGAACCCACCTAGAGGGCCCCCTTGACGCCAGCACAGTCTCTGCCAGGCAGAGCCCTCTCCGCAGCCGAGCCCAGTCTGCTGCAGGACCAGTGCCACGCAGCCCGACACTGTCCGGGGCTGCCGCGGCTGCTGCTGCCGCTGCTGCTGGGCGAGGAGACCAGCAGCCCGAGGGCAGGCTGGAAATTCTGGTCCGGGAAAGGGAAGTGTGAGCCTGTTGACTCTGCATTGCTTCAAAATAGATGCCGTCTCTGTAGCCTGGGCTTAAGAATCTTCCCGAGGATGTTTGCCAGAGCGTAAGAAGTGATAACTACTGTCTGGGAGCTGAATTGGGAAAAAAGGACAGCAGAGAAAGAATGCTTAGGTAACATGGGACTTATAGCTTTGCTTTCGTTTTGCAACATACAAATTGATGCACGTGGGTTTATATACAGTATAATATCAAAACAGAACTAGACTCTGCAGTGAGAGTCAATAGCTTAGTCATTTCACTTAAAGGGAGCAGGCAGCCTTATTACGGGGTTAGACAGCAAAAATTAATTTGATCATGACATGATCATATCCCTTGATGGTATCTAACTGTAGTCCTGTCCTATGTAGTGGAAAAAGCATACTTCCTTCCTTCTTTCTTAGCTGAAAAAAAAGAAACAAAGTCACAGTATCAAATTCAGAAAGAAGTTTGGGATTGTTGTACAAGGCTATTAAACATCCTTCTGTTCCCCAGGCTCGTAAGAAAGGAAAACTGCATTAAATTGATCATTGATGAATATGTGTCTAAGAAAGAAGAAAAAGCAGTATTCATTTCTGAACATGGCAAAGCAGTCTGAAGTTACACATCTCTCCCTAAACACTGATTTGGCACAGATGGCAAGAAACTATCTTTTAACTAACCTTTTCCAACTGTCCAAAATGCTGCATATGAAGATGCTTTAATTCACAGTCAAAGCACTTGGATTTTTATCAAGGCAAACTGTTGGCATTGTCAGAACAGTTTCTGTATACTGATTAGTTTAATGTTTTTTTTAAAATAGCAAGTGATGCATAAATGGATGGACGTGTACCTAGAAAACCCTGTGAGAAGTCTTTCACTGGATCCTGGGAATTTTTATTTTTGTGGATTACAGTAATTGCAATAATCCCTGCTGTTGACTGCTCATGCAGTTGTTCTGGCATGCATCTATGAATACCATAACAGATAAATCAGTCTGACAAGGAAAACACTAATGTTGGAAGACCTGTGAACATGATGCATGTGAATAATTTCCCCTTTAGGAGGCATTCATGGATATGGTGAGTAATCAATACACATTATAGACTGTTAAACTCAAAATGCTTGTTTGCAAAATACTGTGACAACTACCAGATGCTGTGTTTTTACATAAATAAATGTCAAGTGAGGACTAACAGAGCTACGAGAAAAATGAAAATCAGACAGAGAGAGTAGTGATGAAGTAATATGAGTTTAGCACTTCTTCATATTTGCAAAATAGGCAAGTCATAGAAATGGTATTTTTATGGTCATGTTTTCTTACATAAGTATTTTGAGCAAGGTGATGTATTTTCTTCCTGTCTCAAAGGAACAGTTCTTCACATTTCTTTCTTAGCCTGATTTAAAGAACATAATGAAGGCATATTTTTCTTCTATGGTTCGTTTGTCCTAGAACTTATTTATTTATATACTTTCAAGTGACCTGAAAAAAATGCTCATTCATATGGCAATTCAGTAATCATTTATTAAAGATATGCGTAAATGCTGCAGAATGTTTTTGTATGGGAGGTTCTCAAATGTGGCCGTCTGAAAGACAATCATATAGCATTAAAATCCCTTTATCATCATTAAAACATCTGTTTCCTCTTTGAATCACAGGCATGTATAGTTCTTCCTGACTGAAAAATCTTTCTACTTGCCTTGCAATACAGTGCAGTCAACTTGCTTATAAATTCTACCAGTGGTTGTTGCGTCATGTCTTCCTCCTGATGCTGGAATTAGTGTCTTGGTTAGTGCTTAATGAAGATTGTTAGCTAAGGCAAAAATACTTCCCCATAAAACTTTTGCCCTTCGGGTAAATACTAAGTCTTTCAGAACACTGGCAGCAAACCCATTTTGGAAGCTAAGAAGCAAACCAGCCCAAGAGAGGCAGGCCGGCAGAGGGGCGGCCGCGGTGCCGCGCCTGGCGGAGCGCGGGCCGGGCCGGGCCG